TATAGAACGTTTAAGCGAGTGTATAGGGAATATTCCAGCAGGATTATAGAAAGTTTATGTGGGTGTATAGGGAATATTCCAGCAGGATTATAGAAAGTTTAAGCGAGTGTATAGGGAATATTCCAGCAGGAATGCCTGCTGCTTGGGTGATTCAGCTCCACTCATGGGCCACTGGTCATTGCAGAAATAGTCTTAAAATTTCTTTTCATTTTAAACTTCTGCTAGACCTTTAATTATTATAATATTTTATTTTTATGATACATGTTTACTGATTGCAATGCTTGACATATAACCTCCCCTCCCACAAGGGGGAGGTTGAACAACAGATATGGGTGAAGGGAGACAGCGGTTTGTATAAGCTATGAAAATGATAATAATAATTCATAAATTATCAAGGGTGCATGAAGGTGGGAGGGTGGGGAGGGAGGGAAAAAAGAGAAGCTGGTACCAAGGGTTCAAGTAGAAAGCAAATATTCTGAAAATGCTGATGGCAACATATGTACAAATGTGCTTGATACAATGGATGTATGGATTGTTATAAGAGCTGTAAGAGCCCCCAATAAACTGATTTATAAAGAAAAATAAGCGATAGTATTCATTTTCAATTCTGGGGGAAAAAACAAAAATAAAATTTTAAAATGCAGCACTGGTAGCATGGTGGGTTAGGTCTTGGGTTGCTAAGCTCAGGGTCAGCAGTTTGAAACCACCAGCTCCCCCTCGGGAGAAAGATTAGGTTTCTGCTCCTGTGAAGAGTTACATTATCAGAAACCCACAGGGGCAGTTCTACTCTGCCCTGTACACGCACTGTGAGGTGTAATTGACTCAATGACAGTGAATTTTCCTTGCGTGTAAAAACATCACGTATTTGAAAAAGCAGGACAAACAAACTTTAAGCCCTTTGAGGGTAGAGACCAATATCACGTGCCTTTCTTTGCAGCTTCTAGGATAGAGACTCCTGCAATTGGATGCTTAATAATAATACATTGATAAAATGCTGATAAACTTCATCCTTACAATGGTAAAGATGCAAAGCTGTGGGATCATTCTCTAATTAGCTTATGAAAGTCATTCAAAAGACTGGCAGTAAAAAAAGCATGACAGCGAATGATGTGAAGTTCCCATCTTCTGAGGTTTTCCAAATGGCCCCAGTTGTGTTCGCCATGTGGTGAACATTGACCTGAGCGGGAAGTGGTGGCTCAGGGCTGACCCTCCTTGTCCTAAGAGGCAGGCCCCCAAATTAACTCGTTTGAGGCAGAACCTGGGGATGGGGTGTGTCCCCAAGTCTGACTCTCTCATTTTTCATCAGACTTGTCCCATCATAGGGGGGCAGCAGTTAGGTTTATTTCTGCAAGCGCTTTGGGGATGTTTTCCTGTCTGACCCCTATCTTTCCTTCCGCCCTTGGCTCCTTTTATTCTCCCAGGATATAGGGAATCTGAACTTGGAAGCCAATGTGACAGCAGATGGAGCCTTGGCCCTGGAGAAGGGACTGGCCACGCTGAAGAGGGAGATGAGGGACGTGGAAGGAGAGCTGGCAAGAAAGGCACAGGAGTTCAGCACGGACATGGATGCAGTGCAGATGGTGAGTTTCCGTCGTTTCCCACAGGCGGTCCCTTGAATCTGGCCTGTATGAGAAACACCCTTTCAAGACTGGTTCGTGCTTGTTTTTCCACAGGTGATTATAGAAGCCCAGAGAGTCGACTCCAGGGCCAAGAACGCTGGAATGACAATCCAAGACACACTCAGCTCACTGGATGGCATCTTACACCTGATAGGTACGTGAGTTACCCGCCGGCTTCATCCCTGTGCGCCCTCCATCTGACATACATCTGGTGACGATCACGGTAGAACTGGGCCCCACAGGATTTTCAGGGGCCGATGTTTTTCAGAGGTAGATTGCCAGACCTTTCTTCTGAGGCATCTCTGGGTGGACTCCAACTGCCAACCCTTTTGTTTAGCAGCCAAATGTGTGACATCCGCACCACACGGGTACTCCTGTTCCCTCCCAAACTGCAATCACACCTGGGCATGACTGGGGGTCCTTGAGTTGCCTGTGTGGATAAGCTGGGAGAAACGTGAAAGCTGTAAGACCCTGAGATGCTGCACAAGGGGCTGAGGAGCACTGGGGGTCAGGAAAGTAGGTTTCCCCCGGGAGGCCTCCCAGAAGCAAACAGATTTGAACTGAAATCCTGGATTTGTGTGAAAGTGGTATCAAGCACTCATTTAACCTGTTGTATCAAACTTGGACTAGAGATGGAAGAAGACGTTCCACTCTAGAGTCTGGCAACCGTCAGGGAAAGGCTGGACTCTCCTTCTCCAGCTCAGT